CCAGGCTGGGATCTGCAACTGGCCAAGGCAGCCTGGACACACTGCCCTGGGCAAAGGGATGTCCCTGGAGAAGAGCAAGGCAGCATTTCTGTGCCTGCACAGAGGAATCCATGGCACAGAGAAAGCTCTTTCTGCAGCCCCCCTGGGGACAGGCTGCTCTGTCCCTGGGCCAGGACTCTGTGCTGGGCTGGGCAGAGGGGTTGGCACTGAGGGGCACAGTCAGGCTGTGCTGGGCATCTCCTGCAGATTACACCGGGGCTCCTGAAGTTCCCCTGAGCTCCATTTCCTGCTGCCATGATGAGTGCCAAGCCCCTGAGCTGATGGGGATGCTGAGACTCGTCTCTGTGCCCCAGGAGCTGCTGTGCCCTTCAGAGGGGCTGGGGCTGTGGGAAGAGTGCCCAGAGCTCTGCAGCTCCCTGGGGTGGGCAGTGCAGTGGGGCCAGAGCAGACTGGGCTGCTCCACCATTGACCTCTAGAATGAAATCACTTCTGATTTTCTCCTGAAGAACCACAAGAATATGTGTTGTGTCCTTAGCATGAAACTGGAACTGCAGGAAAATAGAAAAGGTTTTGGTGTCAGGGATGTTGAGAAGGCTGGGCAGGGTCACTGGGAGACCTCTCCCAAACCGTTGCAAAGGCCAGAGCCATCCCACAGGTTCCTGGGGCCTTGGCAAAGGCAGACATGGAACCAGTCTGCAAACAGGGCAGCAAGGAGGCTTGACAGAGTTCCAGCCTGCTCAGGTTCAGCAGGGAAGGGGACATGGCAAGTCCTCCTGCAACCATTGCTAGGCATGGGAAGGACAAGGCAGGGATTGCAGAACCCCTGTGGGAGGCAGAAGAAGGGTGTGTTGTGTGCCCAGACTTCAGTAAGTCCTTGACATGGTCTTCTGTGCTCTCCTTAGAGCCAGACTGGTGACAGCTGGATTGGAAAAGTGAAACGTGGTGGGTGGGAAGTTGAAGGACTCATAAGGGTCAAAAGTCATGACACAAATTCCTCCAGGGGGCAACTCCCAGGTGACATCCCTCAGGGACCAGCCCTTGACCATTCCTATGGAACATTTCTATGGTGTCTCTGACTGATGGAATGAAATGCACTTTCCACTCCTCTGGGGATGATACCAAGTTGCAGCGAGTCTGAGAAACCTTGTCTAGTTAATGGTGACTTGTACAAAAAGTCACCTGGTCAAGGTGACTGAGTTGGATAAACTTCTCTTGCCCACCAAGGCGCAAGACAATAAAGAAGAAACTCATGGGTCAGAAGAAAGGCAATTCAAAAGGGGAGCAAAAATACCAAAAACAACCAAACAAACCCAGAATTACAGAATATGCTGAGTTTGAAGGTAACCCCAAGGATCATCCAGTCCAACCCTTAGCCCTGCACAGGACCATCCACAAGGGTCCACAATGAGTCTGAGAGGATGATCCAAACACTTGTTGAGCTCTGTCAGCCTTGGTGCTGTGCCCACTACCCTGGGGAGCCTGTTCAGTGCCCAACCTCATTCTGGGGGAAGAATCTTTTCCCAAGATCCAACCTAACTCTGCCCTGACACAACTCCAGGCTATTCCCTCAGTGCTGTCCCTGGTCCCCCCAGAGCAGAGCTCAGGGCCTGCCCCTCCTCTTCCCCTGCCCAGGAAGTTGTGACTGCAGCGAGGTCTCCCTTCAGTCTCCTCTTCTCCAATTGAACACACCAAGTGCCCTCAGTGTCCTCGCACAACTTCTACTCCAGGCCCTTCCCCATCCTCGTGGCCTCCTTTAGACACTCTCTAATGGCTCAATCTCCCCCTTCCATTGTGTTCCCCCCAAAATGCCCCAGTCTTGCAGGTGAGGCCACCCCAGGGCAGAGCAGAGCAGTAACATGGAAAGCACAGAAACTCTTGGCATCAAGGGGTCACTGTGACACTGGGGAAACTCATGGAATGAAGGGACCATTGTGACACTGCAGGGCCTTGTGGAACCTTGCCTTTTGGGAATCCCAAAGGGATGTGTGGGGGTGTTTCACTGACAACCAGGAGAATTTTGGACCTTTACACACCCAGATCTTGATGTGTCCACACATCTCTGCCTGGGTGTGGGTGTGAATTGACTGTGATGTGAGTGTTGTTTTTGGGAATCTATGATTCAGTCACTGTTCAATTGCAGTAAATGCTATTGAATTCCTAAATAACTATTCAACGGGTCAATGATTAAGGCCTACTAATCTCCTTTGCCCCCTTCTTATCTTTGTTTCCAAATCCTGTGCCCCCTGACCCTCTTGCATCTCAAGGCTCTGTGTAAATCGCTTTCTTTCATAGAAAAAATATATATTTTTGTGAGGTCCACTTTAAAAGCTTCCTCCTTAGCTAAACAACAAAACAAATCTAATTAGTTGTTGAAGACTTGAAAAGGTGAAGACAATTAAAAGAAGGAAAATACTTTGTTTTTCTGTATTTTAATGAGCACCACAGCGTGTTTACAGAGAAGTCCATTGTTCTCAGCTACTGAGAGAAGACTGAAGAAGCTGCTCAGGAAGTCAGAAAGCAAACTCCCAGTCCCTTGAAGCATTCTTGGGCCTCACTTAGGGCAGGCACTGACAAAGCCTCCCCAGGGACTCCTTAGAGCAGATCCTTGCAGGCCAGGAGTGCAGGCAGACAAAGCAAAGTTGCTTGTGGTGACCTGAGGGGCAGAGGCAGCTGCCAGAGCCAAGGGCACAAAGGCCTGGGTGCCTTGCAGCCCTGTCAGAGCCTTTGGCCATCTGTGTTGCAGGCTGTGCTCCCCTGTCCCTGCTGTTCCTCTGGCCTTGCAGGCTGCACACACCCCTCCTGCTTTGCCACCCCCCTCCCAGCAGCATTTCTGGGCCCTCCCTGATATCTCTGCTGTCCCCCAGCTCTGGCTCTTGCCATGTGCACTTGGCCTTCTTAGCTTTGATGCTAAGCCCCTGTGCCCCAGGACATCCCTGACAGAGCCCAGGCTCTTCTCCTGGGGGTTCCTGCAGAGCTGAGCAGATCCAGGTCACCTCCCATTGCTCTGCCAACCCCTTGGGCCTGCTCTGGGCCCTACAGGTCCTTGCCCTGCTCTCAAGGGCTGTGGGGGTGCTTCATGGTCAGGCCTTGGGCTTTAGAGCTCAGGGTGGGGATTAGGCAGAACTTTGGCAGGTTTGTTGTTTTGCTGGTAGGGTCTGGTTCATGTTCAGTAGAACAGTTTTTTGAGCTAGGTCACGATTAAAGCTTGGCTTTTCATACTAAGAAAGTAGGTTTGGGGTGAGCATTAGGTACAAATAAGAGTCTGGAGTTCTGGGTTTGGGCTTTTTCTGTCTTGGAATTAGAGCAGTGGATTCCTTTCAATGGGAGGGGCAGCACTTTTGGGTAGTGTTGAGGTTACAAATAGAGTAAAGACCCATCAGGAATGTTTGCACAGTCAGTGTTTCAGCACCCTCAGCATTCCCTGAAACTGTTCTTATCTCGTCAAAATCTTTCATATTTGTTGAACATCTCCTTTTCCCTCACCCAAACATCCCATCCAGTTTTTCCCAGTTCTGCTGACCTCCCCAAAACCTTTCATCTGGATGGGGTCACCTTTATGATGACCCTCCTGACCCCTGAGCATCTGCCTGCCCTCCTTTTGCCAGTCAGTCCCTGGGGACAGCCCTGGCAGCCCAGCCCCCAAGGGCACACGATGTGTTGCTGTGCTGGAGAGCACCCTCCTCAGCCTGTGCAGCAGGGCTGGAGGTGTGGGATTCCCTTCCCCTCCCCAGCTGGGCCCTTCCTGCCTCTCACACTTGGGCACTTGAGCTGCCCCGGGGCATTTCTGGGGCTGTGGCCACCCCTGGGACTGCTCTGGGAAGTCATGGCCTGAATCCATGAGTGTGGAGTTTGGGAGAGAGTAGAAACCTCTGCAGAACAGAACCCTTGGTAACTGCTCAAGTCTTCCTGTCCAACATTTCAAGGGTTACTACCTTTTTTTTTTTTTTCCTAATTTTTTCATTGTTTTTTTCACTGAAAAACCAAACCCATATTCACCGACCTGATTCACTCACTACGAACAGCTTTGTACAGCTACTTAGCAAAATAAATTTCCTACCAATGTTTCAAATGAATAAATATTACTCAGAAGAGCTCCTGAACGTTTTGAATATATTTCATATCTCTAATTTTGCCTCTTTTTCATTTCAGCCCTGCGGGGTGTCACCTGCTCTGCCCTGTCTGAGATGCCCCACGGTCTGAGGGATGGACAAGGCAATTGTGATTGTTCTTGGCTGGTCTGTGACCACTGTCCTGGGGCAGCTTTCCCAGGGTGTGCAGCACATGGAAAAGACCAGACACTGGGAAAAAAGCTCAGCCTTCAGGAAGTGCCTGCAGGGGAAGCCCTTTGTTGATGGAAGTGCTGGTGTGGAGCCCAGCCCTGTCCCAGCAGTGCCCAGGGCCTGTCCCTGCCTGTGGTCCCAGGACTGACACACAGCAGGACAGTGACTGAGCTGCCAGAGCACTCAGGCCTTGGACACAAACAGCAAAGGAGAGGGGGGAGTGCAAAAAGAGCAGCTCTGCAAAGACCCAGTTCTGGTACTCCCTGGCAGGGCTGGGACTCTTTTCCCCTCCACATCTGCAAACATGGAAATGCCCTCCAGCTTCAGAAGAGGTCTTGGAGGAAGGGTCCAGGAAAAAGAATTTCTGTAGTTTCTTACACTCAGAGATTGTGAATCATTCATGTACAAACTATCACAGGCAGAATGTTTGACAAATACCTTGCCGCACAAATTTTTATTTTGTTTCAATGCACGCAGAACACGATTCCTGATTAGTACATTTTCTGGGTCAAAAAAAAAAGAGTGAGACAGTGAATTATATATGGGATGAAAAATTAAATTTCAGTGTTAATGACAAGAACAAGAGGGACATAACATGAAAGCCCCCAACTCCCAGCACTACTAAAAGTATTAGAAGGCAAGCTGGACCCAAACTGTGTTACTCAGTGAGTGGTCTGCAGAAGAAAAGGAGCAGGTTATTGCTTTTGAAAAACAACCAGTCATCATTTTCCTTATGGTATCCTTGAGCTCCTGGTTCCTCAGGTTGTCGATGAGGGGGTTCACTGCTGGAGGCACCACCAAGTACAAAACTGAAAGAGCCAAGTCTAGTGATGGAGAGGAGATGGAGGGGGGTTTCAGGAAGGCAAATATGCAAGTGCTGAGGAACAGGGAGACCACGACCAGGTGAGGGAGGCACATGGAAAAGGCTTTGTGCCGTCCCTGCTCAGAGGGGATCCTCAGCACAGCCCTGAAGATCTGCACATAGGAGAAAACTGTGAAAATGAAACAACCAAATGCGAAACAGGCAGTAACAGGAATGAGACCAATTTCACTGAGGTAGCCTGAGTGTGAGCAGGAGAGCTTGAGGATGTGTGGGATTTCACAGAAGAACTGGTCCAGAGCATTGCCTTGGCACAGGGAAAATGTATTGGCTGTGTGCAGCAGAGAATAGAGAAATCCAGAGGCCCAGGCAGCTGCTGCCATGTGGGCACAAGCTCTGCTGCCCAGGAGGGTCCTGTAGTGCAGGGGTTTGCAGATGGCAAAGTAGCGGTCATAGCACATGATGATCAGGAGGAAATACTCTGTTGACATGAGAAACATAAACACAAACACCTGGGTAGTGCATCCTGCATAGGAGATGTCCCTGGTGTCCCAGAGGGAGTTGTGCATGGCTTTGGGCACAGTGGTGCAGATGCAGCCCAGGTCTGTGAGGGAGAGGTGCAGGAGGAAGAAGTCCCTGGGGGTGTGCAGGTGCTGGTCGCAGGCTACGGCGCTGAGGATGAGGCCGTTGCCCAGGAGGGCAGCCAGGGGGATGCCCAGGAAGAGCCAGAAGTTCAGCAGCTGCAGCTCCCGCCTATCTGCCAATGCCAGGAGCAGCAACTGGTCCATGGAGCTGCTGTTGGGCATTTGCTGATTCTTACCATGACGTCTGTTCAGAAAAGCAAAAGAAAGGGAACAGTTAACACAGATTTTTCTGAGAAAGCCACTCCCTTTTAAAGAGGTTTTAATAGAAATTTGTCAAGTGCTGTTAAATCTGTTGCCACAGAGTCAGTTTTGCTTTGCTGCAATGGGACATGGAACTCTTTTTGGTCTGCTCTGACACTCCCAAAGGATTTCAGAGGTAACCCACCTTTCATGTCTCTACACTCATGACTCAGAAGAGCTGTGGCTGCAGAGAAAAAGCTCAGTCTCAGCTTAGAATAATTTTGCCTGTGTTTTCTATTATTATCAAAGCACCTGGGGAAGGTTCTTTTCCAGTGCAGGAATCCTCATTTAGAATCATAGAATAGATTGGGTTGGAAAAGACCTCCAAGATCATCAAGTCCAACCCCTGATCCAACTCCAATTACTATATCATGGCACTAAGGGCCACATCCAATCTCTTTTTAAAAACCTCCAGGGATGGTGAGTCCACCACCTCTCTGGGTAGGCCGTTCCAATGCCTGATTACCCTCTCTGTAAAGAATTTCTTCCTAACATCTAACCTAAACCTCCCCTGGCAGAGCTTGAGCCCATGTCCCCTTGTCCTATTGTTGGTTACCTGGGAGAAGAGACCAACCTCCACCTGGCTATAACCTCCCTTCAGGTAGTTGAAGAGAGTGATGAGGTCACCTCTAAGCCTTCTCTTCTCCAGACTAAACAACCCCAGCTCCCTCAGCCTCTCCTCATAGGACTTGTGCTCAAGTCCCTTCACCAGCCTCGTTGCTCTTCTCTGGACCCGCTCCAGCACTTCAATATCCTTCCTGAACTGAGGGGCCCAGAGCTGAACACAATACTCAAGGTGTGGCCTCACCAGCACTGAGCACAGGGGAAGGATCACTTCCCTGCTCCTGCTGGCCACACTGTTCTTGATGCAGGCCAGGATACCATTGGCCTTCTTGGCCACCTGGGCACACTGCTGGCTCATGTTTAGCCTCCTGTCGATCAGCACCCCCAGGTCCCTTTCTGCCTGGCTGCTCTCTAGCCAGTCTGTGCCCAGCCTGTAGCGCTGCATGGGGTTGTTGTGGCCAAAGTGCAGGACCCGGCACTTGGCCTTGTTGAACTTCATCCCATTGGAGTCAGCCCATCTCTCCAGTCTATCCAGATCCCTCTGCAGAGCCCTCCTGCCTTCCGGCAGGTCGACACTCCCTCCCAACTTGGTGTCATCTGCAAATTTGCTGATGATGGACTCAATCCCCTCATCTAAATCATCGATAAAGATGTTAAACAGGACTGGGCCCAGCACTGACCCCTGG